GTTCTAAGATGGCATGTACTTAAATTAAGTGACCATTCATTATACCCTAGGGTGGGGTGGGAGATTCTTATGTCAAAATGTCATGGGACCCTTTTTAATCTCTTAATTTAATAATGGAGACCCCTCCTAAATATTTAAGACTATATAACATGATGAAATTCTAATCTTCATTCATGTGAATGCCTGACTATGAAGAAAATACATTTTGCAACACAGGGATGGATCCAGCATGATCTGGTAGGGGGGGGGGGGTGCTCTGCCAGCTCTGGTGCCGAGTTGTGTTGGTCATGTGTGCCGCCCGCCCATCAACTTGCTTCACTACTGCAAAGTCTTGCTTTACTACTGTATTTGAATTGCAATTGTTGTTCACAGCTCCCTTATCATCATGTTATTACTCAAATTACTGTATCTCATTTTGCCTGTAATAATTTTTTGCTTTATCATGAAAAATAGAACCCCCCTGCACCCCCTCTGGCCAGGGCTAGGGAGTGCACAGCCCCAGCCCCCCAGTAAATCCATCCCTGTTGCAACATACACTACAAGAGCTAGAATGATTGCTTCCTTTGGATGATTTGTCTTAGAATTATATTACCTATATTACAACAATTCCTCCTATTCTGAAACCAGTTGCTATTCTGTTTTTTACAACACTCACCCCCCCCAAAAAAAAAAAACTCAACAAATCAAGGACCCCCTCCAAGGCAATTTTGCCAGCAAAATAGATTAAATTTGATGGTAATTGTTCTGAGAATATGTTAACTCATTGAGTGGCAGCATTCTGCCTAGACTTGCCACAAGTCGACCTCAAACGAAACGCAAGCAGCGAGTGTGAGCCAACGTTTCGTTCGAGGTCGACTTGTGGCAAGTCTACATTCTGTCCTTGAGTAAAATTGTCTGGCACCAGACGGAGTAGTATACTAAAGTGGGACATTGTCACTATAAAGGGTTAAACAAATTTGAAAAAATTTTGCAATGGTCTATATTCAAAAAGCTCAATTTGTAAATTTTAATTGACTTTAATTAAATTAATATAACTACTTATACTTATACTTATAGCTACCTTGCTCCAGACACTTCAAGTGAATTCTACGGGAGGAGGGGGACATTGAAAATCCCTGGGTTTACTTGGTAAAAGCAAGAATTGAACCATGCATTACATGTATATGGAGAGCAGTTTTAAATATATTTTATCATGCAAATACTTTGATAATTGTTCTTAAACGTCTTTGGCTTAGAATGGGTACACCCTCCAAAGGTGTTTATTTACAGGGTCCAAAGGTGTAAATATACACTGTCCAAGGTATTAATATAAACAACAAAAATAATGTATATAATTAAATTTTATTAAATAAAATGTGGAATATTTTACAAATTGCATTACCATCCCAAAGTGTACATAATTTATCGATATAATTAGGACTTAGAAGCTGCTCACATGAGTTTGACTCTGACCCAGCACCCTTGGCTTAGCTCCCCTTGCCCGATCACAAGTAGAAAACCTCCAACCTCCTTTGACAAATCAGTCCAGATCTGCCCAAGAGGCAGAATTTTCTGGAATATTATTAGCAGTGAAATTGTTGCATATTTTTATACCCGTCGCGTTTTAGGGGTTGCGTATTTCTGTTGGGAGTTTTGTAGGGCAAACAAGCCCAACGGAAGTGCCGTGATTCATTCCTTATGAAGAATGGACATTGAACTGCGCATGCGCTGATGGTTATGGATGTTTGGTTGTCATTCTGGTTTCTAAATGCGGGGTTTTTTTTGTCAAGGGAATTTGTTCCTCTCGTTCTCTCAATGAAATAGCATTTCTGGAGTTGCGATAAACAAAACCAACTCCAACACGTCCAACAACTCCAACAAACCAAGCCACAACAACTCCAACAAACCAAGCCAAACAAGTCCAACAAACCCAACAAGCCAACAAAACCAACAAGCCAACACGTCAAACAAATTCAACAAGCCAAACAAACCCAACAAGTCCAACAAGCCAAACAAGTCCAACAAGCAAAACAAAGCCAACAAGCCCAACAAACCAAACAAGTCAAACAAAACCAACAAGTCCAACAAACCCAACAAGCCAAACAAAACTAACAAGCCAACACGTCAAACAAATCCAACAAGTCACACAAACCCAACAAGCCAAACAAGTCCAACAAACCCAACAAGCCAACAAAACCAACAACCAACACGTCAAACAAATCCAACAAGCCAAACAAGTCAAACAAACCCAACAAGTCCAACAAGCCAAACAAGTCCAACAAGCCAAACAAAACCAACAAGTCCAACAAACCAAACAAGTCAAACATGTCAAACAAATCCAACAAGCCAAACAAGTCAAACAAACCCAACAAGTCCAACAAACCCAACAAGCCAAACAAGTCCAACAAACCCAACAAAACCAACAAGCCAACACGTCAAACAAATCCAACAAGCCAAACAGACCCAACAAGTCCAATAAGCCAAACAAGTCCAACAAGCAAAACAAAACCAACAAGCCCAACAAACCAAACAAGTCAAACAAAACCAACAAGTCCAACAAACCCAACAAGCCAAACAAAACCAACAAGCCAACACGTCAAACAAATCCAACAAGCCAAACAAGTCACACAAACCCAACAAGTCCAACAAGCCAAACAAGTCCAACAAACCCAACAAGCCAAACAAGTCCAACAAATCCAACAAGTCTAACAAGCCAACAAATCCAACAAGCCAAACAAGTCAAACAAAGTCAACAAGTCCAACAAGCCAAACAAGTCCAACAAACCCAACAAGCCAACAAAACCAACAAGCCAACACGTCAAACAAATCCATCAAGCCAAACAAGTCAAACAAACCCAACAAGTCCAACAAGCCAAACAAGTCCAACAAGCCAAACAAAACCAACAAGTCCAACAAACCAAACAAGTCAAACATGTCAAACAAATCCAACAAGCCAAACAAGTCAAACAAACCCAACAAGTCCAACAAACCCAACAAGCCAAACAAGTCCAACAAACCCAACAAAACCAACAAGCCAACACGTCAAACAAATCCAACAAGCCAAACAGACCCAACAAGTCCAATAAGCCAAACAAGTCCAACAAGCAAAACAAAACCAACAAGCCCAACAAATCAAACAAG